ACATTTGATTTAGAGATCACTAATTCAGTATAATATTTGTTAAAGCTAAAATATGAAGTACTCAATTAGAGCTATCAATAAGCAGGCGGATATATTAGGAAACACATGTTAGCTGGAGACGCAGTTCTTATAGGTCCCAGCATATTAGGTGGCATTTGAAACTATGGTGGCCCATGGCACCAAGCACAGAATGTGTACAGAATAAGGACACACTGTATATCATAATAGACCTTAAAGGACCATCAATATTTTATGTGAAGGTAAAGAAACAGCAGTCTATGGAGAAGAAAAATATAGAACACTCACAGATATTAGACAGAATAAGGAAGTAATAATGTCCATGAAACCAAGGAAGAAAATAATGTAAATGAGGAACATTGACAGCGTAAAATGACATGAAAGACCAAGTAAGGAAAAGAACAGGATGTGTTACTAGAATATCATCAATAATTTGAGATAACTCAAAAATAAAAGAATATTTGAGATTCAATCATTTTACCACTATTTTCATTTTATGCTATTCTTCAGTAAATAGTGGGATTTGTATAATGTAATTTGTCTTAAACTGAATTTCATGGGTTCTTATTTATAATTGTACCAAAATTCCCTTATAAGAATTATAATCTTGCTTAACATAGTTACGATACTACCTGGTTATGAATATCTGGTTTTAATTTTGCATTTGGCTAAAAATTCATGAAGGTAATTTACATTTTATATGGCTAAGGTTTATACAGTATAACACAAATACCAACATTATACAAGCTCACATTTTTTACTCTACATATAAAATTTCTTTCTGGCCTTAAATGTAATACCCTATATTATATTGAAATTTTGTTTTATTCTTTTTGAAAGTCTCAGAATAAATGTTCTCAACTAATTCAAATGCAATCCCTTGCATTTACGGTAGAATTGGCTGCCTTGATTTAGCATTATATGAGATGAAAACGTAAGAGAAGGTCACTTGGGTTTCAAGTAATTAATAATTAGAATTTTTTATATTTTACAGCAGTCCCTTTATATTACTGGACCACTGATATAAGAAAATAAGCAGAATGCAGGTTGTTTAGTTCCGAGTATATATTTTCCTAATCTCTTAAATTATGAGTTATTTTATATTTTTTAATAATTGAAATCTAATAGGAAAAATAATAAATATGTGTACACAAATCACAATCTTGAAACTTGAATTTCTTTTACTTGACATTTTTCCCACATTTCCTAATATTTCACAATTAGAGAAAGTGCTCAATGACTTCATGCTGTATGAAATAGGAGCAGGATATAATGAGATGAAATCTAATATAAGGTAATTTGTATAGGTTATAATTGTCTAATTAAGGATGTTGGTGATGCATTGTTCATTACAGCATTTATGACATTTTCTCTGATTTCATTTGACAATATTCTCAACAGAAGTAAAAATGCGGTGATGTAGTTAACAAAAAATGCAACCTTGAGCTGCATATCATCAGAGTATGTGCACTGGGATAAATGTCACTGCACTTTATTTTGTGCTGTTAAAACTATACCTTGAGAATGATATTTACTTTTTGATACTGTAATATTGGGGTTTAGGGGTTTAGAGTGCCCTTAGCTTTCCAGAGAGAATGTTTCTCCAGGTTCTTGGTTTTCTGCTCTCTCAAGAATGAGAGGGGACCACGGTGCAGAGCGCAGTAAATGATGGACTTAAAAGTGTTGGTAGAAAGTGATTTATTGAGAGAGCGAGAGAGAGAGAGAGAGAGAGAGGAAAAAAAAAAAAACAGGAGAAGGAGAGAGAAGGAAACAGCTAACTGTCACACTGAGTGAGAGAATCCAGAAAGATGGAATTCAGGAGAGGAAAGCAGCTTCCATATTGAGTGGAAGGGAATAGATAGAGAGATGGAGTTTAGGAGGGAAAGACAGGCTTCCACGAGAGTGTGGAAGGGGATGCCAGAGGGAAAATTTAGGATACAAAAAAAAAAAAAAAAAACAGCTTCTACAAGAGTGTTTCTGGAAGGGTATTTAAACATGGAGTCCAAAGGAGTGTGGAAGTAGGGGACTTTTAATCTGGGAGGAACCCCCACCTTTAAGTCCCCAGGCCAATGAAAGGAGTCACTTAGAACTTTCACTGGAGTGATTGACTTTCTGTTTCTTCCCGCATCCATGAAATTCAAATATAAACCATAAAATTTCCTGGATGGAGTGAGATGGGAGGGGGGCATGGTGCTGGAAAGTTCTTGCCCTTAAAACTACGCCCCCTTGTGGACCTGGAAAGAGAATAAATTCCTTCATTCCCCCTCTTTGAACAGGAAAGTTCAACTTTTGTTGGAATTATGGACACTGATTTTTTTTAACTACTTTTTGCTGAAATGGGGCGTAGAAGGGGCCCTGCAGTTGAGGTTTCCTTCAAAAGGGAGGCTTTTAGGGGTTCAGGTTGATTTAGAGGTTTACAATAAAGCTTACGAGCCAAGGACATTTAGGGTTTCGGTGGCAGGATTATTGGTGACCTTACGGTTTTACTAGAAAGGAATGTGACAAGGTGGTTAAAGATGAGAGGCCCAGAGGCCTACAAATATAGAATGGTTATAAACGAGCCTAGAAGAGAATAGAACCAGGTGTTTGAAGGTTTTCAGCCCTGTGTTTGATTGATTCCTGAGTTTTATGTTTAAAACCACACTTAACTGGTTTATAAAGTAGCAGCATTTTTCCCAGAAGGAGATAGGTTTTCTTCCCACTATGAAAAGGATAATTGGAGTTTGGGGGATAGCAAAGTTGGGTGTTATAGTCCTATTAATGCAAGGATATAAATTAGACTTATGAATGGTTACTTCCCTGGGGATTTTGTTGGAAAAGCAGATGTAGATTTTTTAATGGCTCACAGGTAGATGAAGGGTTATTTTCTGGGAATTTAGGGTGCGGAGTGGGGGCTTTATGACTTTTCTTAGGAGGTTTTAAAGGCTTTAGTGGAGTGTGATGAATTTATGAGTTAATTTCCACTATCTTAATTGCCCTTGGGGTAGACAGAATGACCAAAAATCGTCCCTTCCAGGATGGGTCTAGAGAGGGAGAATTTGAGGGGATAGAATTAACAAGTGCCAAGTTTCCAGGGCAGGAGAGAAATACTGAGAAGGCCATGCAGTGTTTAGGAGAAGATTAACTTCCTGGACGTTTATGATTAACTTTACCTGGGGCTTTGTGAGGGTGATGGCTTGTGCTGGCACTTGCCCCAGGCACCCTCGGTTTTGCCATTGGGTTATTTTGTTAGACACCTCAGGCCCTGGGAATCTTTATTCCCTGGGACAGTGTGCTTTTCAGTGATTACCTTGGTACAGAGGGCAAGGATGAGATTGATTCATCTTTGGGGGAAAATTTTTTATAAAATGTCCCTTTAGAGCTCACTGATAACAAGCTTTGCCAGACTGGTGGCTAAACTGAGCCTTTTCCTTATTTAAGCCCCTAGGGACTGCATGCTTGAAAGGCATGATTAAGGCTGATTTTTTCTGTTTTCTTTTAGCCTTTTTATTTATTTATTTATTTTGGTTAGTATTATAAAACACTGAGGTTTCTTGGTTTAGTAATGATTCTAGACTTTGTTCTGATCCCAACGCCAGGTTTTGGAACTTTTGCCTGATATTTGCTGCTCACTGAGTAATAAACTTGTTCTTTAGTATTAGCTGACCCTTATTGGAGTCTGGTTGACAGAGGGGTGTACTTTTTTAAAGCCTTTTACAATTGCTTAATGAAAGCTGTTGGTTTTTTTTTTTCCCTTCCCTTTAGGGGCTAGATTTTTTACTTGGCAGAGGGTAATTTGGCCAGAGAAATATAAGCCACTTTTTCCTTAAGGACTGTGTGCTAAATTCATTTTAATTTTCCAGTATGCATTTTAATGGGGACTTGAGCTTGGGAATAGAAGTATCCATTTGAAATTGAACACAAGGGATGCCCACATCCCTGTTTAAAGAAATTACAGCTGCTTTGACCTGAGGCCTTCCCCAGGTAATATGAGTACTGAAATGAAATGTTTTTCAGTTAGTACCCCAACATTTTCTGTGCTCAAGATTCGTGATTTATTTTATTAGAGGACTGTCCATGTACTGGGTTTGAATTACAACCTACCAGCGTTATGGAACCCCCTCACTGTTTGCTTGACTTTTAATGACCACCATAGAGGCATGAAGGGGCTGGTGGGTTGAATGGTTTATAGCAATGAGTTTATGAACCAAGTCAGTGAGGCTTAGGAGATGGGTACTCACATTTTTTAGCAAAGGTTCAATTTACACAGGCCAATGTATAAAACTGTCCCAGAAGGGTAAACTTCTAGGGAGGAGCTCTTAGAGCACACACTTTAAAGAAGGCAGGCCGGGCGTGGCTGAGGCCAGAACAATATTTTTAGAACCTGGGCCTACTTTCCCCCACCCATTTTTCATTGTAGATAACTGCCTTTAGGGTTGCGAGAGCTGCCATGAACTATTTGAGCCCTGGAACCAGTTTAACTATGATTTTTTAGATGGAAAATTTTGCCATAGAGAGAGCCAATTTTAAGCAAGACAAATTATACACTAAACACAAAAGTTCCATAGCCTTTAGCTTTTAAATTTCCCCAAATTAAGACTGAGTTTGCCATGGATTTGAACGAGCAACCTTACAGTTTCAGACCCTACACCTTAATCAACTGTGCATACAGGCCACTTGTGTTTGGGTAAGGCAGAAAGCTTTTTTAAACCATATTTTGAATGAGAATGCGGCACCCTGAGGCAGTGTGGCCTGCCTAAAAGCAGGGTGGGGCTGACAGCAGCTTTTTTTTTTTTTAATCCTGTGCACCCAGAAAAAAATCCCACTTGTTGCTTTGAGTTTAAAAGCCATGTTTGCTGCCGATGCTGAGCCTGCCATGAGTTTCCCTTCCCTCGTGGCTTTTGGTTGCCATGTTGACCCCACCAGAACCAGGTGCAAGCCTAGGTCACTCTCCCAGCTGCTGCTCACACAGGGACCCATGGCCAGAAGGTGAACACCCTGGGGGAAGTTTCCATGCGCAGTTCCTGACTGCGGTTTTTAACAGCCAGGTTTTTTTTCAGTTTTGTGCTGCCACCCTGTTTTGCCACTTTGCTTTTTTAAGCACTGCCACTCTGCTTAGAGCCTCCGAAGCTGGCCGAGCCTGGCCGGAACACAACTTGCCTTACCCTGCAGCTTTTTTCCCCACCTGGCTTTGACTTGCTGCCAGGCTGGACTGTGGGTGGTTCCAGTTCCTGTTCCCATCAGCAAAGGAGCAAAAGGGGAGGGTGCTTACCCTTTCCACTGTACAGGTTTCTGCAGGTTTTGGTTCCAGAAATAATTTCGGAGGGATAGAGAAGAAAAGGGAAAGCAGAGAAACAACTTGGAGGTAAGAAAAAAACCTGTGCTTTTAATTTTTGCTGGGCTGCATCGCTTAAAACGTGCTTTGTTGTGCCTCTGAGGCACCTCTGCTCAGGTTTCCCCACAGCCCTGGCTGGCTGTGGCCACTTCAGGTGTTCTTAAAGAGACAGGACAGAATGGGGCTGGTTTTACAATTTTTAAGTCTTCTTCTCTGACTGTACCCCTTTCCTGGTTGTACCCCTTTCCTGGCTGTACCCATCTCTTTGCTATACCCCTCTCCTGACTGGCTCACCAAAATGTAATATTGGGATTTAGGGTGCCCTTAGCTTCCCTGAGAGGATGTTTCTCCGGGTTCTTGGTTTTCTGCCCTCTCAGTAATGAGGGGACCACGGTGCAGAGCACAGTGAATGCCAGACTTAAAAGGGTTGGTAGAAAGTGATTTATTTAGAGAGAGAGAGAGGAACAGGAGAAGAATAGAGAAAGAAACAGCTAACTCTTATACTGAGAGAATCCAGAAAGATGGAATACAGGAGAGGAAAGCAGCTTCCACACTGAGTGGAAGGGAATAGAGAGAGAGAGAGATGGAGGGGAAGAAAGGCTTCCACGAGAGAGTGTGGAAGGGGATTCCAGAGGGAAAATTCAGGATTGAAAAAAACAGCTTCCACAAGAGTGTTTGTGGAAGGGGATTTAAACATGGAGTCCAAAGGGGTGTGGAAAAGGGAACTTTTATCCTGGGAGGAGCCCTCACCTTCTTTAAGACCCCAGGCCAATGAAAGGAGTTTCTTAGAACTTTCACTGGCATGATTGACTTTTTGTTTCTTCCTGTGTCCGCAAAATTTAAACATAAAGTGTTAAATTTCCTGGATTGAGAGAGATGGGAAGCTCTTGCCCTTAAAACTATACCCTCTTGTAAACCAGGAAAAAAAATACACTTTCAATACTAGGAGTTTAAGAGCATATGCTAGAACATTTGTATATAATACACTTATGATGGATAACTTTAAATATCATAATGCATGCTCTGATTTCATTTGATAGAGATATTATAGTAAATATAGCAAAATAAAATCTTGAAGTTGCCAGAGAGTCTAATAGTAGTGGGCAATAGTACTGTATGTAACTTTGTGAAACCACATTAAATCCCACAGTTAAAATGCCTCAGGCTGAAAAATAATTTTCTTAATGAATGTAGCCTCCCTGTTTACTATTTCCTGTGGTCCCTGTAGTTTGATCTCACACTGACCCTCCTCATTATTAAATTCATATGCATCCATGGAGGAAAACAGGCAACATTTCTCCAAGCGGGCATAACCAGTGCCCATGGATTTTCATGGAAGGGGATTCCTTCAGAAAACCCAGGAAAAGACTCCATTCTTGTGGCAGTTAGTCTATTATTCCTGTTTAAGAAAATATGTGCCACAAATCAGTGATTACCTTATGTTTCTCTTTCTCTACTGTCCAGATTGAGGGCTTTTGTAGTAGTTATTCTCTAAGTTCTTGACAGCTGTATGTACTTGGCTCTTAAGGGAACATCACTTGTCTTTCGGGTATGGTTCAGCATGTCTTGAACTCCTGACCTCAGGTGATCTGCCCACCTCAGCCTCCCAAAATGCTGGGATTACAAGTGTGAGTCACCAGGCCCATCCCAGTTCAGCATGTCAAAAAAAAAAAAAAAATATACACCTGACTCTGTTTTAAAGACTTTAATATAATCTAAAGATTATGAACATTGAGCTTAATGCAGTAATCCACTCCAACTTTGGAGTTAGTGAAGTGGGTGAGTAAATAGAGAAATGTATGCTAGCATTTGTAGAAGTGTATGTGTAGTACAAGCACTCAGATTAAATATTGAATATCAACGAGCAGAATGAAGCAGAAACTGTTATTACCTACCAAATGTTTATTCCCTTCATCATTCTTAACAGTATCCCAATTTATTTGTCAATTGGCGTTGGTCCATTTTGAAATAAAAGATGTGATTGTTTTAAGACAAAAACGACATGAAAATTAGTAAAGGATAAATGTAGTGAATAAGGTCAATTGGTCAAAAATTGTGCTATGGCAATTGAAAGAAGGGATTATGTTTTGCTCATTAAAGAATAATGGACACTGTATGGACTTTTGAGATTAACTGCTGCATTCAAGTCTCAGGTTTCCTACCAGCAAGTTTGATATTTGTAGGTCCTCTTGGGGCTTTCATTTATTAATTTTTAAAAGTTAAAAATAATATCATGTATCACCTGTGTTGCCATAAAATTAAATGAAATGGTAGACATAAAAATCCAACACAGTACTGCTTAATATAACTATATTAGACTTTTTCCTTTCTCAATTATCCATTCATCTCATGATATGTCATGTTACTTGTTATCATTCTTATAAAAGACACTCATAAGTGCTTGTTCAATGAATGAATAAATGAGTGCATGAATGAAGTTAGTATGAGAACAGGTTTCCTCTGAAGTTAAAAAAGAACAGAAAATATATGAGGAATGCATGAACTTAGAGAGGAGAACTGATTATTTTCCAAGTGTAGGAGAGATAATGGCATCCTCCATTCTCACAGGAATCTAGTACTACAAATTCCTGAGTACTTTTTATTATTTTATTCAACAAATACTGACTGAGCACTTACTGTACTCAGTAGTACTTCCACAAACTACTGAGTACGGTGGAAACAAAGCAGTGACAAGAGCAGACAAATGAATCTACCTGCACAAAGCTTGCATTTTAATTGGTGAATACAAATGTTAAACAACTTTTAAAATTTTAGATATAGTGTTATATATGGTAGTAGGTGCCATAAAAAAAAATAAAGCTTAGAAGGAGGCAAAAAGTGGGACAAAGATTGCCATTTTATGTAGCAAAACCAGGGAAGGCTTTACTGGAAAGATGACATTGGAAAAAGTATCTTTTTCTTTTTTTTCCCAGGCTAGAGTACAATGGCGCAATCTTGGCTCACTGTCACCTCTGCCTCCCATGTTCAAGTGATTCTCCTGCCTTAGCCTCCTGAGTAGCTGGGGTTAGAGGCTCATGCCACTGTGCCCATCTATTTTTGTATTTTTAGCAGAGATGGGCCCCTCTTTACCTCCCGACCTCAAGTGATCCGCCTACCTTGGCCTCCCAAAGTGCTGGGATTACAGGCATGAATCACCAGGCCTGGCAAGAAAAATATCTTAAGTGAGAATTGATATATACGACTATTTGGGGGAAAGTGTTCAAAATAGAGAAAAGAACTAGTAAAAAAGGACTGAGCTAAGAGTATAACTGGTGTGTGTTTGAGGCACATATGAAAGCCAATGTGGATAGAGTGAATGAACAAGGAGAATATATGTTAGTAAAGAGATATGGGGGGGAAAAAAGGTGATGATCAGATCTTGTTGCCATTTTTCGTCCATGTTTTAAATATTGACTTTTATTTAAAGTTTTAAATATAGTAGCGACTTGATCTTAGTAGTACTTTTGAAGAATTACTCCCACTGCTCTATTGAGAACTGACTAAAGTGAAGCAAGGGTAGAGCAAAGGATGAGAACTGAAACCTACATAATTTCTCATTTGTGTGTTGAATAATTCTGAGAGAAAGCATAAGTTATTTTGGCCTGAGTGTTAAACAATATTGAGGTTAGGCAAACTATCTTAGCTTTTTGTTCCAGGAAATACCTGTTGCTTGTAGATAAGTCTGTGAACTAAGCGTATAGCTTACCTAAGTAGTTAATCATTTGTACTCACTGCAATACTCCTGTCTTGCTGTGTCCACCAACATAAAGCTTGTAAATTCTAAACTTTATCCAATATCAACTAGTTTACCACTTAGAAAGCCTGTCCTATTATTAGTAAGCTAAGGCCTTTAAGCTAAGTTAATATCATCTGATACTTCCCTCTTTTGAAACATATTACTAAGCTGGTCAGTGCGATGTTCTCTCTTATTGCAATAAATCTAATAAACTTATTTTACTTGATCAATAGGCTTTTTTGGTAGTCTTTCGGGGAGTTGTTGACCAACAGGAAACTAGCTAAGAAGCTATTGCATTAATATAGGTAAGAGGTAAAGCAATCATTTATAGGCTCACACCTGTAATCCTAGCACTTTGGGAGGCCAAAGCAGGTGGTTCACCTGAGGTGAGGAGTTTGAGACCAGCCTGACCAACATGGAGAAACTCCATCTCTACTAAAATTACAAAATTAGCCAGGAGTGGTGGTGCATGCCTGTAATTCCAGCTACTCAGGAGGCTGAGGCAGGAGAATCACTGGAATCTGGGAGGCAGAGGTTGCAGTGAGCCAAGATCATGCCATCGCACTCCAGCCTGGGCAACAAGAGTCAAACTGTCTCAAAACAAACAAACAAACAATGACATATGTGTGAGTGTAATAGCGAAGGTTCTGAAAAGTGTTTGGATTCTAAAAATATTTTGAAATAATAACTAAGATAATTTTCAGGCAGATTGGATGAAGAATGAGAGAGAAGTCCCCCAAAATTGAAGTTGTTAGCCTAAATAGCAGGAAGTTATTGTTGCCATCCATTTGAAAATGAGGCACTATTTAAAGTCATCGGGCTAGATGACATCACCAAAGAAGAGAATGTAAATATAACAGATAGATGTCCACAAATAAACTCCAAGATACAACATTGCTTTCAGGTCAAGAAAACGAAGAAAAATCAGAAGAGGGGACTTAGAGAAGTAGCAATGAGAAGAGGAAAACCAGGAGAATTAGGTGTCCTGCAAGTCAAATATGTGTACTCCAATGTAAATGTCATTGCTTCTTGGTTTTTCTAATTGCCCTATCAAGTTCAGCTTTCTGAGGGATGCTAAAGCAGTTGCTACACATACATTCACCTTCTGGCTTCCAGCATAACTCCTCTGCTTTTCTTTTCATTATTGTGAATTTGTGTTTAAAAACCTCAATTTATAGTCCCTTTGTGACTTTTTTTTGTTTCTTTGCCTTCTGTATAAACATGTAAACCTACATGCAAACATGCATACTACATTATTAGTATGTCTACATTTATACTACATTATTAGTATGTC